ATGTCAGGCATTTTGCAAAATATTGGGAATCTAATGAAGAATAAAATGTGTTCCAAATCCAGCAAGGTATTCAGAAGCTCCTGTGTTCCTTAAACTTCATTTTGTTTTATTTGTTTTTATATTTCTTTTGATGTTCCCAAGCAGAAGAATTGGGCAATAAATGTATCATCTGCCTCAGTTCTCATACATGATGAGTTAAAAAGTCACAAAACACTTTCAGAATGGAAGAATCTGAACTTCTGAAAATCCGCTCTTACAAAACAGCACCAAGAGCTTGAAAATTTCTCTAAAATAAACTTTTTTCCAAAAGTCTAGTGATGAACCAAAATCTTCCAACAATCAGAGATTAATTTACTTAAGTAAACCAAGAAGAATAGTAAGTTTTGCAGCATTTTAACATACACTATTCCCATCTTCCTTTACCCAGCCCACAGCAACATCAAAAGTCAAAATCACTGTTGCCACAGTATCTGAAAAGTCAGCACCTGGCATCCACTGGAGTGAGCAGAATGATTGTAGATCACTCTAAATAAACCGGTCCCTAGAGAACTGTCAGTATATGACTGTCAGGTAACTCTCTAAAAAGGAAAGTGTCAGTAATAGCCCTTGTCTTCCTACACCAACAACCCTTTTCCAAGTGCGTTTTGGAAAGTATAAGCAACAGTTGTTTAATATCTAGACTGCCTACTGCAGACCATAATAATTGGGGACAATGATACAATAAACAAAAAAGCAATCTGATCCCAACAGTGTATAAAAAGGATCACATATCTAATCAAATGGAATGTACCCCAGGAAGGTAAAGGTAGTTGAACATAAAATCAATCACTGTAATGTAGTGGAGAGAAGACTAAGACACATAAGATCATGTTGATTGACACAGAAAAAGTACTTGATAAAATCTGACAATCTTTCATGATCAAAACATGTGGAAAGTGTAACTAGAAGAGAATCGATAAACGCCAACTATGGAAAACTGTAAAAGAATTTTTGTCTTAAGTTCTAAATTGAGCCGAATATATTCACTCTCACTACTTTATCACTTTACTGGAGATAGTTGTTAGTTCAGTTAAGTAAGGGAAACAAACCAGCATACAGTTCAGAAAGGAAGAATTAAAACTACTCATGGGTAGCATAATCTGACATAGAGAAAAACCTAAGGAATAAAAAACAATAAAAACTACTAGTTATAATAAATGAGACAGGTACAACTGCAACATACAATATCAACATGCAAAATCAGTAAACAATAACCTTGGAGGAGACATTGTTTTGAACTGAGCTCAGAAACTAGGCTTCAACAGACCAGACCAAAACAAAATAGTCACTTACACTGATTGTCACATTATGAAACCAACACTTTAATGTCCCAAATAATACTCAAAGTATATGAGCATTTTGGAAAACAGGATATTCAGTCTACCTGAGTCCACATAATGATGAAGGTCTCTCTACTTTGATTCTTAACCACAAAAAATTAACTGGAAGTAATTTGATGTTAACAATTTGCTTTTTCATCTTTTTGTTTTATTTTCTTCTCCCTCTATTATTGTCTAGTGGGATCCTTTCATTTCATTTTATAGAATACAGGTTGTCCCAATTTATGAATCATGACTAAATGTTTTAATTAAATTTGTTAAAATTTTATCTCTTGATAGTTTCTATGTAGTATGGCTAAATAATCCAAAATTGAATTTGAACGAAAACAGTATCAAAATTAGTAAAGTGCTAACCAATAGAATTAAAAAATTAAATGTAAGACTTATAAACTGAAAATTATAAGACATTATTGGAAGAAAATAAATACCAAAAATGGAAAGATATTTCATACTGATTAACTTAAACTTTTAGTAATGTTCAAAATTATACAACAAGTAAAAAGCATAGTCAGGAATTGAACCAATATATTTTATAGGATACTATAGTCTAAACTACTGTTAGCTGAGCTTTTCACTCATCTCTGGGCTTTACCGACAGGCTGGTCCCTTAACTGGCTAATACAATATACTAACTGGAAACTGTTAACAGTAGTTAAATAGCTTCATACACTCCACTCCCTAAATATGTAAGTAAAACTTTAATGCTTATCCTACCACAGTAAGTGATATGGGCATTTCAACCACTGTGGCAAGGTATACAAACAAGATGTAAAGGAATTCAGCTTTCTATTTCTCAGACCATACTACCCAAGGATTGTCAGAGAGCACAATGTTTGTGAGCTTAGCCCATAACATCAGCCAGACTATGTTATCAGTTCTGGATCTATCAACAAATACACCTTGGTGTCATTAGCATGATCTATAAAATGAATGTGGTATCAGTATTCTGTTCTACAAACTGTTATAGAAACATGTAAACATGCATGCCTGTGTGTGTATGTACATATACTGCTTATGTTTTCCCATTGCTCTTAATACTAGCCTGCATTTTTATGATTGTTGAAGATTAGATCATTTGATATGCTTTTTAACCTCTCCCTACCCACAAGTCTCATCTCTTGTCATTAATAGCTTCGCAGTACAAACAGCAGTCACACCAAGACTGCTCCCAAGATGAACCATGCTCTTTTGCACCTCTATCTATGCCTTTAGTTATGTCATCTTCTCTGCTTTTGATGTTTACTCATATGCCCTCTCTTCTCCTGTATCTAGCCATCTTCTACACATCCTTTAATACTCCACTCAGGTATTGCCCAACCCAGGAAGCCTCATTCATGTTTTATTTAATGCCTTGTCCATATCTCTTCCAGTTCCTGTACTGCACAGTTGTTAAACTGTCTTGGGGAGAGGGGTCCTTCCTTGCATGTTTATATTTCTGTCCATCAGAAAGCAGCCCCCTTTCTTCCTTGACTGCTTGAGGATAGCCACCATCATTGTCAAGACCAGGAAATTCATGACCAATCATATACCTCAGAAGAAACAAATGGTCATCTAGGCCCTTCACTCTGGGAAGGCAATGGCACTGAAGATAAGAAATTTGGCTACAGTTAGTCAAAATATATAAGGCCATTCCAGATGTCATTGTTGCATTTGGATATAGAACCCATCAAGGTGGTGGCAAAACAACTGGCTTTGGCATGATTTATGATTCCAAACACAGACTTGTAAGACATGGTCTATTTGAGAAGACAAAAACAGTGAAAGGAACAAAAGATCATATTGAAAAAGGTCAGGGATGGGGGGTCCTTTAAAAGGCCAACATCAGAACTAGCAAAAAGCAAGAGGACTAAAGATCTTGGGGTGACTTAATGTGCTGTGGTGAGATAAATTTCTAAGGAGAGGACTAATAAACTGTAAAAACAGATTAGAAAAGGCATCCCACTCTTTTTATACATCTGTGTTCCACACTAGACTGAACTCTCTCAATGACTTTTTTCCAGTTGCATCTGAAGTTCTAGCTTTATCCTTCAGGTCTCCTATATCTTCTTGGACTTCTTTGGCATAGTCTATGGTGCCTAGAAAAGTAAAAAAGGGTCTATATGATTCTGTGTATCAATTTGTGGAAAAGAGTTCTGAGTACATAATAGGAATTATGGACATATTTGGGTGAAATGAGGTCAGGGGATAAAATACTTTGGAAATTAGAAAGCATTTGGTATACCTTATGTGTGTGAGTGTATGTGTGCCACACATGTGCCTGGTGCCCACAGAGGTGAGAAAAGGATATTGAATCCCCTGGAACTGGAGTGTTGCAAATGTTTGTGAGCTTCCACACCAGTGCTTAGAACTGAGCCTATAGCCTCTACAAGAACCTGAGCTGTCTCTTCAGTCATAGAGATTATTTTTCATAGTTTCATAATTTTTATCTGCTTTAAACCTAAAAACATATGAGGGCTTAAACACAACAGAATGTTCACATACATGTAATGTTTCAATATACATATTCTTGGTTAGCAGGATAGTTCTCTTTCTCATGGATGTTGAGGGACATGGGCTCACAAATGCATCCCAAATGGGGTAAAATCTCAGAGGAACACACAAGGAAAACTTCTACGGGCCAATTCTTCGACTGTCGCACATAATTTCTATTCCTATTCCATTAATGAGAACTTAGTCGCATGGCCAGGGATGCTGAGAAATAGCCTACCCATGTGCTCAAGGAAAAGAATTATTCAATTGAAAATTTCTGGTCATTGTAAATGTAATAGTAAAGTTGGGATAGTTTGCCTTACATGTTGGGTAAATGATGGAACAGGTTTCTGTCCTTTCTGCTAGTATACTACATGGTGTATATATGTTAATCTGTCCCCCAGGAAGCTTGAATAGTCAAATGTAGGCAGTATTTCAAATCATTGTTGACAGCTGAGCTCCCTATTGAGTCACTTACCAGGAAGTAGCAGCTGGAGGGTGACTTGCATTGCTGATTATTCCTTAATTATTAATCACTGACACTTTGTAAATTGCCTTAAGTCAAATCCCAGCTGGGTTAGCATACAATATTACAATGTTGGCCCCCAAATATTTTGCCTGTGTTGTATGTCTAGGCTAGAAAGGGTATTAAATAGACAGCAAAGTAGCAACATGATTTGCTGCAAACCAGCCAATTGATACTCAAAACAAAATGGGAAAAAGGCAAAATCAAAAAAGGGACTAATTTCCATTCAAACCATGGCCACAGGCACGGTTTAATCCCTGGCAGTTTGTGTTTCCCCAAACCAACTGTACACTTGATGGTGACTAAATGGAGGCAAAGGGAATGAATAGAAGCAAATCAGTATGACATAAAAATCCTCATGATTCTCAGCTGAGAGGCATGTATATTCCCAGGAAAATTAGGAAAACTGATGTCCCGGCTCTATCCCTCCATAACTTAAGAAGTCTCAGTCCATCAGGAATGGACCTGGGAAACAACATTTTTCAATGTGCTTTTAATGATTCTCAGCCCCCTGCCTGAATTAGTTACATAGTCTAGTGCTGGAGAAGACTGTGAATAGAAATATTATGAACACTGACTGTTTCTTGGACATCTTAGGTGCCTAACTTGTTCTTTTCTTTTCCCAGTTTGTCGCTCAGCCAAATTGCCAACAATTGCTTGCCACCTTGTGGTATGATGGCTTCCCTGGATGGCGGAGAAAACACTGGGTAGTCAAGCTTCTGACCTGTATGACCATTGGCTTCCTGTTTCCTATGCTGTCTATAGCCTATCTGATCTCACCCAGAAGCAACCTTGGGCTGTTCATCAAGAAGCCCTTTATCAAGTTCATCTGCCATACAGCTTCCTACCTGACCTTCCTCTTCATGCTTCTCCTGGCTTCTCAGCACATTGTCAGGACAGACCTCCATGTACAAGGACCTCCCCCAACTGTTGTGGAATGGATGATACTGCCTTGGGTTTTAGGTGTGTGAAACAGAACAAAAATAATGACTAGGCTGTCTTCTGGTTCTCCTCTAAAAGCAGTACTGGTACATGTACTCAGAGTAGCTCTGAACTAGGACCCCTCCAGTAGGCCTTTGTTTAGAAGCTAAGAAACATGGTTCCTTCTATCCTAGGTTTTGATCACTCAATTATGCATGGGCCACTGTAAACCAGGCATGTTCTCAGGGATTGTATCTGTTCACCTAATATCTTCCAGGATGGAAGAAAATGGCTGTTAGTTGGTTTAGGGGAGAAAGCTTTGTGTCAGTCCATATAGGCTTCAGGTAAACTAGACAGGGCAAGCACTGAGCATTCTTTTTTAATTAATTTTTATTTAAATTAAAAACAATCTCATTTTACATGCAAATCCAAGTTCCCTGTCCCTCCCATCCAACACCCTTTCCCATGATCAGAAGGCATGTGGATTCTGCTGAGTTCTTGTGTTTGTGTCTAGTTTATACAATCCTAGCACCTGTTCAGGTGCCATGTTCGATTTGGATACTGATCCCACAGTCAGCAGAGAAACCTGGGAAATTCATACTGCTTATGGAAAAGTTGATCTACTTTACCTGTGGTCTCTAGGCATAATTAAATGTCACTGGGCTCTCTATAAGTGCCATCTTCTAAGTCTTTACCATGCAAATTATGAGCCCCAGGCTAGCATTATAAGCTTTAATTGTGATTTTATCAGATACATCTTAAGTGTTATCCTGGGTCTAGAGGTTAACAGCATTTCCTAAAGGGTTCATATGTAAAGTGTAGAAAGTGGTGGACTTGACCAAAGCAACATACTTTTACTCTGTCATCAGGCAAAATTCCACAAAAAAGCAAATATAATGAGAGGAAAACAGAGAACTTTGCCCCTTAGCGCCCAGTGGAAAGTAAGAACCATGGAATAATACTGATGAAGTCAATCTATCATACTCCAAAATGGGAGAAAATGTACTACATAGTGCCTAAAATTTCAGTAGCTAAAATAAAATTTAAAATAAATTGCAATAGCATCCGATTAAGATGGACAAAATGCACAGTAAATATTTTAAGAAATATTCATCATCCTTTGCCATAGAGAAATGAAAATTAAAACTACTTTGAAATTTTCTCTCATCCTAGTCATAATGGCTATCATCAAAAAAGTAAGTGATGTCACATACTGGCAAGGGTGTAGGAAACAAGATTCTTCATTGGCTGCTGGTGAGACACTTAAGCTGTCAATGTGGAAATCGATGTGGTAGTTTCTCATAAAACTATACTATTCCTGGCTCAGGTACCAAAAGAACCCCACTATTCTGCTATAGAGACACTTGTACCTCTATGTTCATTGCTGCACTATTAACAATAGCAAGAGAATGGAACCAGCCTAGATGCCCATCAACAGATTAAGGGATAACGAAAACAGGGTACATACACACAATGGAAGCTTATTCAGTTGTAAGGAGTAATGACATTGTAAAATATACAGGAAAATGGGTGGACCCGGAAAATAGTACATTGAATGAGGCTACCCAGACTAAGAAAGATAAATACCCCATGTTCTTTTATATGAAGATCCTTACTTTTAATGCTCAAATAAATATACGACCGTGAGCGTGAATATAGGTCATAAATATAGAAAGAAGACCATGAGAAAGGGAAATAGGGTATTGAAGAAGAGGAAATAGAACGCATGTGACATGAAAGTGGAAAGGAGGCTACCAGGAATAGAAGGGGAAAGGAGGAAGAAGAGAGGTGGGTGAGTAAAGGTGTTAGGAATTATGCTTTATGTTTCAAAATGCCGTAATGAAACCTAATACTTTAAAATTTTAAAAAATAAAAGGGAGAGTGCCCAGAAATCTGAAAAGCATACTAGATTTGAAAAATTCAAAATTGGGAGGTTGGGTAGCCGAGAAAAGAGAACTAAGTGATCTCCACCTCTTAGATTCAGCCATGTTCATTCATGAATCTCCTCTTTATTCATTAGGGGAACTCCTGTTGTGATGTTCAACACTGCCTTAATATAGTAATAAACTTTTACTTCCATTCTTCAGGTTTCATTTGGGGGGAGATAAAGGAAATGTGGGATGGTGGATTCACTGAATACATCCATGACTGGTGGAACCTAATGGATTTTGCAATGAACTCCCTCTACCTGGCTACTATTTCCTTGAAGATTGTGGCTTATGTCAAGGTAAAGTGAGATGTGTAGGATTTTTCTTCCTCAGTTATTTTGGATGGGTTATGTCAATAAAATTTTGAACTGGGAACAGGAAGACTTTATGGGGAAAATGATTGAGTGTTCCATCAATGTTAGAAAATGCCACGGGGACTCTTTCAATAGTCTGTAAGCAGTGTCTACATAAGCAAAGCCAGTGGGGAATGAAACATTTTTCAGATGAACACTTAAACTTCTCGGACTTTTAGGGTAGCAGTGTCATCATCCTTCAGTGCTTAAACATGGCACTCTGATGCAGCACAGGGTAGGAATAGGAAATTCAATAAATCCTTTACCTCCAAAAAGCCTTTTAGCTGTTTTCACTTTAGTAAAATCAGTTATTTTTCCCATGCCATATCTACTGTGGAGATATACAGTAGACATACAGCTATTCTTTGGAGTAGCACTTCTGGTATAGGTCGTGTCAGCTCTCCTGTACCTTCTGAGTCATTGTTTCACAAAGCCAAACATTACCACTTCCCTTGCCATTCTTTATAAAACAAGCAGCAGGACTCCAGAAGCTGTGTGACACATAGGTCTACAGTAGCTTCTGCTTTCTTCATTACTTATTCTGTCTGCTTTCTTCATTACTTATTCTGTCTGGATAACCATTCAACCAGTTACATAACCAAAATTTTCAGTATCAATCAACCTACAACCCTTTACCAGTCCAGAAAATGTATACACTGTCCACATCCCGTCACTTTGATCCTTTCCCCATGCACAAGCACCTTAAATTATCCAAAAATCATTTTTTATTTTTAAATTTAAATTAGAAACAAGGTTGCTTCTCCAGTCAATCCCAGCTCGCTCTCCCTCCCCTCCTCCCATGCCCTCCCACCAACCCCCCCCCAGTCTCCCCAATCCCCACTCCGTTCCCCAGGGAGAATGAGGCCCTCCATGGGGCATATCCAGAGTCTGTCATTTCATCCAGGGCAGGACCTAGGCCTTCTCCCAAGAGTCCAGGCTGAGAGTGCATCCCTCACTGTGGGATGGGCGCCCAAAGCCCATTTGTATGTCAGGGATAAATACTGATCTACTACCCAAGGCCCCATAGATCGCCTAGGTCTCCTCACTGACACCCATATTCAGGGGATCTGGATCAGTCCCATGCTGGACTCCGAGACATCAGTCTGGAGTTCAAGAGCTCCCCATTGTTCAGGTCATTTTCAGTTTTTTAATGGGATCTGTAAGTGGGTAGGATCTGGTTCACTTATCCACAGAGATATAAGCCATATAAGATGACCTTCCCCAGGCAAAATGAGACAAGTGTGAAGGAAAGTTTCAGGCACCTCTCCACAGGCCCCTGTGTTTGGGAGTAATCACAGGTCTGAGTTCAGGTCTGGTATTTAATATAGAATGTGTAGCTGTGCTCCTTCTAACCAGAGTAGAGTTTTTCCCGTGCATGGAAAGGCTGACAATTCATTCCCCAAGATGTCTAGTCAGTCATGCTTTTGGTATTAAATTTCACTTTGAGGACTTTTAGAATGGGAATATGGCTGTCCCCCAAGTCTCCAACAACTTAGTTTATTTTTATATCCCTAATATGCATATTGCATAAATTGCAAGACCTTGAAAGTTATATAGAGCATGAATATTGAATGCATTCATGAAACATTTTTGAAAGGAGCCCAAGAGTATGCCTTATGCGTGTGGTGATCATCTAACACATTCTTACAACTTTCTTAGAAGAAAAACCTGGTGAAGAAAATGTTTGACTCTCTGATTAACCTGCCTGGGTTAACTCCATGGCACTTTGGGCATTCTGCTAGCTAAGCAACACGGTTTTCCTTTTAAAAATGCATTGTATGCATGTATAAAATTAATTTTAAAATATTGTATTTTTAAAATTTCCTCTAGAAGTAGAGAAACCATAACTTATCAATCTTTAAATGACTAGTTTTTATTTAACCATGAAAGACTAGACTACATGATGAAAAAAAATTCTATCTGGGGTATTAAAATGTGTCTACAGATGCTCAACATCAGGTAATCACATGATCTTCCCAGTTTCACTGGTTAGGCTTCCAAAGAGCTAACTAATTCTCCATCAGAAAGTATAATAACCCCATTCTGCTAAGATCGTAAGTTCTGCCTCTTACCACTCTAAGAAAACATAAATAAGACATGTCACATGCACAATTTGGATTTTTTCAAGACAGGGTTTCTCTGTGTAACAGTCCTAGCTGTCCCGGAACTAGCTCTATAGATCAGGCTGGCCTCGAACTCAGAGAGATCTGCCTGCCTCTGCCCCTGCCTCCTGGGTGCAGGAAGTAAAGGCATGGGCCACCATATCTGGCCAGAATTTAGATTTTAAAAATTTATTTATGTGTATGAGTTTTTTGTACACATATGTTTAGTGACCATAAAAACCATAAAGGCTAAACTTGGAGTTACAGGCAGTTAGTTATGAGCCACCATGTGGGTATTGGGAATTGAATGCAGGTTCTCTACAAGAGCAGCAAGTATCCTTAACCACTGATCCGTCTCTTCAGTCCCCATAATTTTTATGTTTTAAATGAGAACTTGTGAGAAGAGTGTGGTCCTCTCATCCACAAAAAAATGCAACCAGTTTAGACAGTCCCCAAAGCAGGATGAGACAACCATTAATACCGAAGTCATGCCTCGTAGTGGGGGTGCATAGCTTTAATCTCAGCACTCAGGAGACAGAGGCAGGAGGATCTCTGTGAGTTTGAGACCAGCCTGGATTACAGAGTGAGTTCTAGGACAGCCAGGACTACACAGAGAAACCCTGTCTCCAAAAAAAAAAAAAAAAAAAAAAAAAAAAAAGAAACTCACAAAAAAAATTTCCACAAGCCCCTTGGAAAACTTCAAATCACTGTTGTTTGGAGGCAAAGAATTTCCATCTCTCATATAGATCTCAAAACATGTAACAACATTTGTAACATCTGTGTTGTAAGATCAACCCCCATGTGAGTGATACTTCTTGGAAATGGAAACAGTACTAGACTTAATGTCAAGAGATCTCGCCCTACCACCAAATTTGCTGTGTGATCTCTAGCAAGTCAGTCTGCCTCTCTGGATTTCAGCTCCTCTATTTGTGAGACAGGCATACCACCCACTTGCTCACAGGGATGCAACAACTGTTTTTTGTTTACTTTTTTCTTTGAAGGAAAATGTGGGAAATTTGACTAGGACTACACAAAGTTGATCAGCCACCAAAAAGTCTGTGCAAAATAGAAGCACACATGTGTCCCATTCTCTCTGATTCCTATGACAATGAAGAATATTGGTCACACACACATGTGATTTTAACACTATCAGTTTTATTGGCTGTTGGAAGTAAAGCACTTAAGAAATACAAGATAATTTTGCCCCCAACACATTTTCTCAGGAATGTCATCTACATTTAGTCCTAAAAAATTTGGGGTATTTAAATGAGAGTATAAAGTAATGGTGCTTCAGACTGAATTTCAGGCAAAACCCACTTCTGTCCTTGGAAACGTTTACAATTGGTCCCTTATATTTCCATACCATCATCCTTTATGGAGTACAGAGACTCTTGTGCATAAATACAGAATCACAAACAATACATCAGGTAGGAATGGCATTACTCTTTTTTATTGTGAAGGTAAAAGTTACAGGCAGTTTTTAAATTTGTATTTAAATTAAAAACAATCTTATTTTACATACTGATGACAGTTCCCTCTCCCTCCTGTCTTCCCACTACCCCCACAATCTCTCCATCCCATACCCCATCCATGTTCCCACAGGGGAGCATCAAAGTCTGTTACATCTTTGGGGGCAGGACAGAGGCCCTAACCCCTGTATTCTAGGCTGAAAGAGTAACCCTCCTTAAGGAATGGGCTCAAAAAAGCCAGTTTATGGCAGTTTTAAGTGACAATTTCCAAACTGGAGTCGAGACCTTGTCATCTCACACTTTTCTATGAGGCTATTCCCCACATTCCAGAAAATAGAGGCCTTCAAAAGGCTGGAAATGGGCAGCCAACCCTATAAATACTAGCTAGTCCCTCTCCTTCAACTTCCTGGTTCTTCATTTGCACTGGAAGGCCTTTCTAACTCGTAAGGTTGTTAAAGAAACAGTAAAATACATCCATATGCGCTATGTGGAGAATTACTAAATTTGCTACCTGGAAGGTTGACATGCCATTTGCAATGGTGTAGAATATATTACAAACTGCTAAAAATGCAGCAGAAAGCTCTGAAGAAAGGCTCCATCAGGACTCTCTCTATCAGCCCTAAACTGTAGGCAGCAGAGCCTGGAGAATGAACACCGAGGAGCTTGCATCCATCTATTGTCCTTTACTACCTTTAAATTGACCATGTCTTTTGACCAGTGGTGGGGGGAGTGTAGATCTGAATTGAAATCTCACCGAGAAGTGGAATAATTGGTCCCTACTAGCTTGAGCACCCCAATGGCTCCTTTTCAGCAACACTCAACAACAATCTGGTAAATTCGCAGTTAGAAATGTCTGTTGATAAACCCCAGGTGGCTGCTGCAGATGATGGCTCTGAAATTCCTTCTGCTATGTATATATGCTTGGTATATATTTGGATAAGAGTAGGAGGGAGAGAGTTATTAGCACTGTGTACTGATTGAATGGGGCAAAAAGACAAACAAATAATGCCATGCACAGGGAATTTTATGTAAGCTGAGTGTCGGGTACATAGATGGTGTGTGAAAAGGTACAAAGGGGGAAATTTGGAAATGTTCACTGTGCTTCTCATATTGCGCACTTCTGTTTTTTCTTTTCTTTTTTTCTTTTTCAGTATAATGGTTCGCGTCCAAGGGAGGAATGGGAAATGTGGCACCCGACTCTGATTGCAGAGGCACTCTTCGCAATATCCAACATTTTAAGTTCTTTGCGTCTCATATCCTTGTTCACAGCCAACTCCCACTTAGGGCCTCTGCAGATCTCTTTAGGACGCATGCTGCTTGATATACTCAAATTCCTCTTTATCTACTGCCTAGTACTGCTGGCTTTTGCCAACGGATTGAATCAGCTTTATTTTTACTATGAGACCAGAGCTATCGATGAACCTAACAACTGCAAGGGGATCCGATGTGAAAAACAGAACAATGCCTTCTCCACGTAAGACTTACATCTCTCTTTTATTTACTTTCTGCCTTGCTTTTTGTTCTATTTTCCATACACAGCTACATCAGTATCTCTTGATGGAATAGCAAAGCTCTCTGTAGATCTACCCAAAGGGTCTGGGGTAGAAGAAAGTTCTTCCTTCAACATAAGTGTACTAGGAAAGTAGCATTAGAAGATTAAGTGATTTGACAGAGACAGAGAGAGTCTTGGAGCGACTCCATAAAAAGGTAGTTCTGAGTACTCTTTGTTGCATTCAAAAGAGTGGCAGCCACAAAGGAAGTGAAAGCACAAGACTATTCCCAGGAAGCCCTGACACGTTAACTTGACTACTGTAAGTCAAGCTCAAAGCAAAGGACACAAAGGTGTCTTAATAAACCCCGTTTTACACAAGTACACTAGGAAAGAGTAGGCAGGATTGAGGCAAGATTACAGTCAGCTAGACTACTAGACCAATTTAGGGACTTAGGTAGGGATTGGTTGGAAATGTCTCTGCTCTCATTTTGGGTGTAAAAGGAAGTGTATCACTTTGTCCAGAGGTACACAGTCTCTGGGCAGGTAGCATCTGTGTCTTTCCTTCTTGCTGTGAAGACCTCCTTTGGAATTTTTCACTCCCTGAATGACTTTAGAATGATAGTTTAGATATAGAAGAGGAGAAAAGAAGAAGCTAGATGTTGTGGCACACTTGGGAGGCTGATGCAGGAGGTTTATGAGCGTGAGACCAGCCTGACTACATAGTGAGACCCTGTCTAAAAAGATCAGAAGCAAAAAGGGAGGGGAGGGGAGAGGAGGGAGGGAAGGCGGAAAGAAGGAAGGAAGGAAGGAAAGAAGGAAGGAAGGACAATTCATGCAATTTTCTTAGGTTAGAAGCTACATTGGGCTTCAGTGACCTTCACTTTGTCCACCCAACATCCACTCTGGAGTTCCAAAGCTTCTTCATGATCCTCAAACATTAAACTAAGAATTCATCTTTTACATGTTTTGTTTTTAACAAGTAACTACACATATAATAATTACACAGATCTTGGAAGTACAAAGTGAAGTTATGATACATGAATACACCACTGTACAGTGATCAAATTTGGATAATTAGCATCCACATCAACTCAAGTATTTCTCATTCCATTGTGGTGAAACATGTAGAATCTGTTCTAGCCAGTTTAACATGTACAACGTGCTATTCTCATCTGTGGTCTCCCTATTGTATAACAAAACTTGCTCCCATCCAACTGCAACACTGTTTTCGTTGGCAAACCTCTCCCATCCCACCCACCTTCCACTCTTCCGCAGGCTCCAATAGCTAACATTCCATTCTGTACTGCTACAATATCAATTCTTTTACATTCCATAAACTGACGAGATCATACAGTCTTTGTATGGCTGGCTTATTTCACTTAACATTAATATCCTTTGCATTAATTTATGTTTCTACATATATCAGAATTTCAACATTTTGTAGCCAAAAACATTCCAGTGAATTTATGGGTTCTTTATGTATTTCTGTGTGTGTGTGTGTCTGTCTGTCTGTCTGTCTGTCTCTCTCTCTCTCTCTCTCTCTCTCTCTCTCTCTCTCACACACACACACACACACACACACACACACACGGAGACAGAGAGAGACAGAGAGAGAGAGATTGAGAGAGAGAGACTGCATACTTCTAGACATTGGCTTGTCCTTCCACTATGTGAGTTCTAGGGCTCAAACTCAGGTCACCAGGCTTGGTGGCCAGCAGTTTTATTCACTGAGGCATCTTGCTGGCCCCTTACTAAACATTATGAGTCAGTTCAGTGGACTTTGACATTCTAGGAAATCTTTAGTAATCGAGAGACCAGGTCAAGGATGGTATCTTATGCCTAGAATCTCAGCACTCCCAAGATAAGGTAGGATTTGAGGCCACCCTAGATTACATAGCAACACTCTATCTCAATGACAACAACAAAAGGCTGGAGACAAAGAGTGTCAGTTGCTGTTGCTGCTGCTATGTTGTTTGATGGCAAGGTCTCATATTATTCCAGGCTGGTTTTGAACTTCCTGTAGGGAAAAGGGACCAGCCAAAGAAACACACTTTGGCCCTGCAACCAGAACCAACGAAATGTACCCTGGCCCTGAAACCAGTGCCAAAGTAACACACTTTGTCCCTGGGATCAGTCAGTGAAAGAAATACACTAGAGCTAAAAGGCTAAAAAGGACCAGTGAAAGAAACACACTTTGGCCCTAAAACCAGAGCCAAATCTGACCCTAACCCTGTGCAGAAAACTAAACAATCCCTGAGCAGGAGCTCTAGCTAATCTGAGCTCAGCATTAAAATCTGACCACCAATCCCCACCCTGAAAGCCATATATAAACCCTGTGTCTGTTCAGCTTGTGGCTGTTCGCACTACCTGGCTGTCCTCTGCCACTCTGGCAGAGGGCAGCCACTCTCCTGGATTCTTCCCTCTCAATAAACCCCTTCAATTAGCTTTGGGTGAAGACCTTCTTTTGCGTAGGAGCAGAGATGACCCTGGGCAGAGCAGAGTGAGCAGGGCTGTAACACTTTGGCCAGGGAAACCTTCCCCTGGCAGAGTGAAGTTGTTACACTCGGCTCTCCACTCTCCTGGGAGCAGAGCTGAACTGTAGCAACTTCGCTTGGGAAACCTCCTGCCAGAGCAAAACTGCTACACTGGGCAAACATTCCCAGCTGGAAGACCCTCTCCTGCTGGAGCAGAGCCAATACACTGGGGAAGCCTTTCCCTGAAGCAGGGCTGTAAGCTGCTATGCTTACTGTGGCCTGTGATATTCCTTGGCTCCTGAGCTCCAATTTTACCTTTCCATCTGAGCTGTATTCTGTGTCTTCTGAGTGCCAGAATATCTGTTCCACCCAATCTGTCCAATATGCCTACACTTCCTATGTAGCTGAGGATGACCTTGAATTCCAAGTCTTCCTGTCTCCATTTCCCAAGTGCTAGGAGTACAGGTTTTCACCATCATACCCAGTTTTGCAAAGGTATTTTATCTTGATCAATATACTCATAGGAAAATTCAAAGCTTTCTCTCCTCCACATATAATTTGCCTCTAGTTATATTTCCTAAAGTGAGTTATAGAGATCCCACAGTTCAATGGATTGATGATGGGCATGAAACAGAGTCTGAGGCGAAATGTGTTTCAGAAATGTTCAGACATAATTTGAAAGTTCTCTTCACTTCACAAAGTCTCACAGTCCTTCCATCATAGGGAGAGGAAGAGGCAGGTATTCCCAAATATGTTATTTCTAGATTTTCCTCTTCCCTCTTACCTTTCAAATGAGCTCTCCTGTGAACATGTTGGAGTGAAGCATGTTGGCTTATCCCATTGTGCACTTCAGCACTATTCACCTCCACCAGACTACAGCCCATCTCTCCTCCCAGAGATCAGAGCAAAATCTTGGATGAGAAAAGTGAGAAGATCAAGGTCCAAAGTGGCTTTGTCAAGAGTTAGCACTGTGTTGTTAACCCAAGCCAAGTGCAGAACAGTAACCTAGCACCTTAATGGTGCTTTTTCACTAGGAACTTTGCCTTCTTCTCCTGCATGGCTCTGGAGACAGGACTCATACCAACTTAGTTTCATTAGAAAAAGTAATTCTGCTGTGTCATTTGCACCAAGAGACAGCATCATTCCCATAAAAGTGTTCCAAAGGATGGAACAATTGAAAGCAAGGTACTTTCCAGGACACTAGGTTCTTACCAATTCCCCACCCATATGAGCTCTGCCAAGGAAGTGAATGAAATGCCTCCCTGCAAGTTTGCAATCATTATTAATACTCCTGTAGGCAATAGACATGTTGTTCCCATCATTTGTTTCGCAGAGATTATCAATAAGAATGGGCATCTGCTATACAAGTATGAAGACACATTGTCATGTTGGACCCAAATTGGCAATAATGTCCCTTCAATTTTCCCCTCTCTCATCAGATTGGTTTCCTCCATAGAGGCCTGATTCAAATGTGTTTTTCTTTTAAACACTTTGACTTTGGCATTGATAGTGATATCTATTAAAATTCATGCTGCGCAACCAGAACACCAGAAAACAGCTTGTTAGAGAAGTGAATGTGAGGTTGTTTAGATACCTCATGAAAAGTTTGGTGTCTGCCCAACTTTTCCTCTTCCATATGATTCTCTAGGAACAACATTGCTATTGTTCTTTAAAATGTGGCAAAAGTTCTTTTCTCCTTGAAATGTATTTTGTGAGGAACATTGATATACTTGCTGACAACTACATGGCAACAATGTTGTTGATTTGAGCTCCACATTCCACATTGGGAGTACTGGGCCTTCATCTGCTCTTGGAAGAGGCCATTGGGAAGGCACCATCACTCTCTAGCCATAGCATTTGTGAGGGTTACAGATTAATAGTGTAAAAGATGCTAACCTGAAAGTCCTGCATCTGTTTTCAGTGGTTCAGGTATTCGTCTACAGATGCCTCTTAAAACAAACCCTGGCTCTTCATTTCACAGGATACTCAAGACACTGTCCACAACTAAATCACTTATCTTCATATTGTCACTTCAACTTATTTTCCCTTTCATTCCTCTGCTCATTAAACGACACCAGCCAGAATACTAGCAGTCATCTAACACTCTTACACTATTCTCACTATTCTTCATGAAATATCCAGTGTTTCAACTCACCTGGTCAGTCGTACTTTCTAAAGGTCCTGCAAACACACACACACACACACACACACACACACACACACACACACACACGGGTAGAGATGGGGTGGGGTGGCAGACAGGCAGATAAAGTCAGAGATAGAAAGAAACGCTGTTTAGGTTCAGGCCTAAATCCTAAGAACTTCAGCAACAGCCTCTTAACTGGTTTCCCTGCCTGCCATCTTGTCTCCACCTCATAATACTCTCCCCCACATCATGTGGAAATTTCTTTCTAAATCCCAGTATCATCTCATCGCTCTCTGGCTCCATGCCTATCCAGTAGATACTATTCTCTGTAAATCCAACCTCCTTACCATAATGTATAGGAT